GGAAAACTGAGCTAAAACAAAGGAAATGAATTTCATTGGGGATAAATGTAAAGTTCTGCATTTAGATAGGAAAAATCAAATAGGATAGGGGAGACTTGTATTGGCAGTAGTAGGTGTGAAAAAGATCTAGGGGTCTTAGTATACCATACACTGAACATGAGGCAGCAGTGTGATGCCGTAGCCAAAAAGACAAATGTGATTTTGGGCTGTATCAACAGAAGTATAGTGTCCAGATCACGTGAAGTAACGGTATTGCTTTACTCTGCTCTAGTTAGACCTCTCCTAGAGTATTGTGTTCAGTTTTGGGCACCACAATTTAAGAAGGATATAGAGAAGCTGGAATGTGTCCAGAGGGCAATGAAGATGGTGAGGGGTCTGGAGACCAAGTCCTATGAGGAAAGGTTGAAGGAGATGGGTATGTTTAGCCTGGAGAGGAGACAACTGAGAGAAGATGATGAAGAAGAGATTGGATTTATACCCAAGCCCTTCACTACCCAAAGGAGTCTCAGAGCGGCTTACAATCCCTTTCCCTTCCCCTCCCCACAACAGACACCCTGTGAGGTAGGTGGGGCTGAGAGAGCTCTTGAGAGAACTGCTCTTGAAAGAACAGCTCTGAAAGAACTTGTGACTGACCTGAGGTCACATCAGCAGCTGCATGTGCAGGAGTGGGGAATCACACCTGGTTCTTGGGGCACTATGTACCAGCCACCCTTAGATTGTTTAAAGCTAAGTTGCTGGCCCAGCTTTCTGCCATCTTCTGGGCATGGAGCATGGGTCACTGTGGGTGTATGGGGGGGGAGGTATTTGTGCATTTCCTGCATTGTGCAGGAGAGTGGATTAGATGACCCTGGAGGTCCCTTCCAACTCTATGACTAATTCTTTTGCACAAGCTTCTTAAACCGTTCTTATTCACTTCAGTAGGACTTGCACAAAAGAACTACCCAGAGGACTATGTTAACTAGCAGAATGTAGACCACTTGGATTGTCCATCTCAGGGACCAAAATGTTTTGCGGACAACTCTGGCATGATCAGTGAGAACAGCTCATCATCCTGGATCTATGGCTGGTTCTGAACACTAGTCAGATAAACCTGTTGTCCAGTCGTGTCCAAAGAAATGTCTGTATGATGTCCTAATCATAAATATTCCACAGCACGGTAGCCTCAGAATGACTCTTCGTGACATCTGGGGCATCTGAATGCTGATGGATGAAACTTGGAAGAAGGAGGCAATGCGCTTTCTGCCGTATCATCCAGTAACAAAACTGACACAAAGTCTTGGGTCTCTCCTGTTTTACTGTTTCTACTGTGGTCAACCACTTTTGGGTCCTGTCTGTGTCAGGAAAAGAACAGAGAATACAAACATTCTAGACACTAAATCAGTCCTTTTGCACAGTCGATGTGAGAAGAGTTCCTACACATACAGGATCCAGGGACATTAACATGCCTCCAAACACACATGGAAAAGATTATTAAACTGTGTGCACATTATTTTTTCATTATGACAAGCAGGGGACCTTGCGAGGACTTGCAGGGCAGGTCTCATTTTCCCATGTTTCCACCCCTCCCACTATTTCTTCTTTCCCTGTCTTGGCCGTCCCACCACAACCTCTCCCCTTTAGCCTGCTTCCTTCTCTCCTTCCTACCCACCAGCCAATCAGTCTTCAGCTTTCCCTCCTTCCCTCCCCCTAACAGCCTCTCTCCAGGAAAAATCTGGCCAAGTTGCACAGTGACCACAAAGCCAGGCAACCCTAAAACTTCAATCAAGCTGTTTAGAATCCC